AAAACAGAAAGCCCCAGAACGAGAGGACTAGTGTCCCTGCAGGAGCTCGGGAGCTTCTCCTTCGGCTCTCCTTTTAAGATCTGGAGCAAGTTCTCCGAAATCAACTCTGACACCTGAAAATAAAATCATGTATTAATGGTGGTTTATAGAAGCTACTGTAGATAATTTCTACTTTGATTTTTTTGTCCTTTTGCTGAACACACCTTGACCTGAGGGGGATGTGAATGGTCTGGGTATGCCATCCTAGTGTGAGCAGAACCAAGGCTCCCCATAAAATACCTCAAACTTTGACACAAGCTCTCAGTGCTCTGTTTATCTGACGGAGTCCATTTCTGGAAGATTCTGTTCAGCAGAGTTGTAGCTGAGGACTGCCAGGCATTTGAAATCTCCACACCCTTTTTGTTCTTCCAGCTAAACATTTTGTGAAAAAAACTTTTTTCATCATAACGGCTAATGAGTCCTTCATAAAGATGCATCTCTGTATAAAACACAGGCAGGTTTGGGATCAGTTTATGTGGAAATCCAGGAAACAGAATTGGACAAATGACATAATAGCAGTCTCAAGCTCAGTGTTTGTCTTACCCTTAATACTTGGGTCTGAAGGAATGTAAATATGTCTTGTGGCAGTTCCTGAAATCTCTTTGACTCGTTGCTTTACACAATACAAATAAGTCACTCCGCTGCCTCTTCGCAAGCTGCTTTCTTCAACAGAGAGGCGTGCTTCCACCAGATAACCTTCCTGCTTTAGTCCACTAAAGATAAAATATTGAAGATTTGAGTGAAAGGGATATTCATGCCAAATTTTTATCTATCTAGATAAAAACACAACATCCTCTGGAGCAAAAAAGAACTTATTCAGGTGGAATTCAGGAAAAAACAATATAATAAAATATATTAACAGCTATATTCAAATGCTTGACAATCTACACAAGCTACTCTCCAAATACACTGCATTGATAAGTATTTGCTCATCTTTCTTCACATATGTACTTGGATTGGCATTCTATTGTTAATCCACAGGATTTAAAAGGATGTCGGCCCACCCTTTGCAGCTGTAACAGCTTGAACTCTTCTGGGAAGGCTTTCCACAAGGTTTAGGAGTGTTTACAGGAATTTTTGACCATTCTTCCAGGAGTGCATTTGTGAAGTCAGACAGTGACGTTGGACAAGAAGGCCTGGCCTAGCAGTCTCTGCCCAAAGGCATTCTGCTGGATTGCAGACTCTCCCCGGGCCAATCTAATTTTTCCCCACTTCATCAGTGCATGTGATGCTTTGCATTGTGTTTTGTTACATAAGGCTTGGGTGCAGCTGGTGAAGCTCTCTACGCACTGTTCTTGAGCTAATCTAAAGGCCACACATAGTTTGGAGGTCTGTAGCAAATAACTCTGCAGAAAGTTGGAGACCTCTGCCCACTATGAACCTCACTATGCATTGACCTCGTTCTGTGATTTTACGTGGCCTACTACAGAGCTTTCCTCCATTGTCATATCAAAAAAACAGAAAGAGGCTAAAATGCCCCAATGTATATTTTCAAAAAAATTGGTTAATTGGGGGTTTGATCAAACCACAGAAATCCTTCCACACCAAACCAGGAAAGAAATTCTTTATGGACCTATGTTAGTACAGGAACTTTGATGTATAAAGTAAAAAGGCCAAACACAAAATAGAATCACACTATCATCCTAAGCAGCAGGAAAAAACTGTGGAACCATAGGAGCTTTGCTATTAACCTCTTGTGTATGTTACTGTCCTAAAATCTAACATAAAGAACAATAAAAAAATACAACATGTAATACATCATAGATACTTACACAAAATGTGTTATTACAAGGGGCGGGAAATACTCTTGCTGATTTTGAAGCTGAAGTCTGTCGTGTTCTTGGTTGAATCTAAACGCTTTGTCCAGCACAGCGTAGATGTGAAAGGTGAACATAGGAACTCCAGGTGGAGGTCTCACTGGGCTTCGATCACTGTGAGTGAAAAAGATAAACGTTTAAATATGAGCTTCAGCTCCAGAGTTTAAATAAACAGTT